AAAAATATATATATATATATATATATATATATATATATATATATATATATATATATATATATATATACATATATGTGTCAAAGAGAAATACGAGAAATATATGAATATTAATCAGAAAATAGTACATTAAAAAGTATTAAATACTTTTTAATTCTTTTTTTAGTACCTGCTCGATAATTCGGCAAGAGAACGTCGCCAATTAAGACTAGTACATTGTCTATATATTAAACATTTAGTTGATTAGTACATTATATATGTGTGTATGTGTATGCATATATATATAATGTACCAATGATAACATTTTGGCTAGTATTTGTTCTATGTACAATTAAATGATAATTTCTGAACTATACCTCTGAATACCCGTATCGATCACTCTCTGAGGAAGTAAACGTTGTCTTAGTCGATCGACTAGCTATTATCATAATTCGTATGTCAAGTATAATCTTCCAGAAAATCTTGTTTCCTTTCTCTTTGTTTAATTCGTTGAATACTGTAGTTTTCAATGTCACTGACATCGAATAAAGCCCTGCGTAAAAATTCATCGCGTTATAACAGTCTTTTCATAAATATAGACTTTGTAAAGTAAAATCTCTTTTCTCAAAAAGAAAGACTTGAAGCTCGTAACACATAACGTTCATGACGTGAGGACTTTCCAATCGAATCGGCTGTTACTGGTGTGGGTGATTGGTGGGAAAGGAGGAGGGTGTAGCTGCCAGCCATCAAGACTTTGACGCGCAGTTAAGCACGCAAGATAAGGTACCCTCTGAACTAATCTAGAGACTTCAGCCGCCGGGGGTATTCTACCACCGGTCAATTGTCTGGTGCAGGCCGCCAGAGAAGCGGCGTGTGCTACTATTAAAATATTACCATCCGTACATTCTATAATCTTCTTAATCAAGTCGTAACTTCGCTCGTAATACTGCGCAGCATTCTCTTTCAGCGGGAGCTCCTTAGCTTTCACGATCGGCTCGTAATCGGCGTCCACATTGAAACCCGCTTTGATCAGTTCTTCGGAGGTCATCCAAACAGGTATGCCGTTCGGATACCACGCCAGCCATTCTATGAAGCCTGGCTCCACCTTGATGGGAACATCGGACTCCAGACCCTTTAGAATGTGGGCGAGTGTTTGGACGCAACGCAACGACGGTGACGCGAAGGCTACGTCTATTTTAATACTGGAGGACTTCATAGCCTCGCCTACCAAACTCGCTTGCATCTCGCCCACGGTGGTCAAGGGACAGTCGTTCTGAAAGTCCTGAATATTCCTAGATGGTATCTCCTTAGGCATGTTCAAGTCGCGACGCACGTAGCAGCCGTTTGACTCGAAACAATATGGGATCCACGAACCGAAAGTAAAGTCCACTCTCTCGCCGTGTCGACATATAAAAATCTCCCTCGACGAGGTCAGAGGTACCTCCGACGCTACCATCTGTTCGGAAGCAATAGATTATAAGTCTGCCGATTTATTCATATTTTGTATTTTTCAAAAATGATTACCGGTTGCTCGGCTGCGGGGATGCCGTCGGTGATATCTACTGACTCACTCGGAGACAGAACCGGCGGTCTCCTGATCCTCGGTAATTCCTCTTCCTCGGCGCTCTCGCATCGTTTATTGTTGGTGATCATTACGGTGGTGTGCAGCGTCCACGAGTCCGACTCCGCGGTTCTCTTCGTATGATTCAACGGCAAATGGCCCGACGTGCCGGTCAACCAGGAGATACCCTCCACCCAACCGTCCGTGGACGCATTACACGCACCTTCTGGAACGTAAATGTAATCTCCTACTCTTAATTCTAATTCGTCGTGTTCCTGGGGAACGTGGGCGTGCGTCACTTTGTGCACGTGTAGATTCTGCAGTCTCGAGTCTCTCGAGTATAATCTGAGCTCCCAGTTGGCTGGTGTGTTTGGTCCTAATTTTTCTACCGCTAAGCGGAGGGAATGAAATAAGTTGCTGGGAAACTGGTAAGCCAGCGTGAGGTGCAGAGACGTTATTTGGTATTCGGCATTGATACCTAGAGAAGCAAGTTTATTAACGTAGCGAACGGAAATGTTCTTCAGCTGTTCTGCATTGACATCCTTCACAAAGAGACCCATGAAATTAGGAGACACGTATGTCTCTAACTCAATATGCTGTAATCTATCTTGATATCCCACATCCTCGAGAGCATTTGCTAATTCCTCAGTGAACTCATCAGGAGCCTGTGAAAATATTGAAACTGTTTATATGTGCATGTGTATTCAAGAAAAAAAAATATATATGTAACTTTAAAGCTGAACACTTTCTCAATTCCAAGTTGCAACGTGGTATCTTACATTAAAGAATGAAACAAGAGTAATGTGTGGTATAAAGTTGAGAGCACCGTTCCATCCTAGGTCTCTGCTCTCTGACCAAAACAGCTCAAGCTGTGTGGCCAATGGTCCAGTAGGGCAAGCATATAGCACATACTGTCGTTGTGTATCAGAATCTAAGGTTGGATCACGCACATGAGCTAGCAGCCAGTCTGATGCTAACTGTACACCACGATGTCCTGTTGCAGCCAGTGCTTTCTCCCTAATAAAGCATAAAAAAAACGAATTAAATATATTAATATTTATGCAAATATATCTATGTCAAAAGAGACACGTGTCTCTAATCCGGACACTTCGAGTATTCTAACTATAGAGTTTCAAATCCAGTATAACAAAGCAAAGCACTTTATAAGAATAGGGATTAATTTGCTTTATCCAAATATTGTAATTTAGCGACAAATGTAACAAATTTAGCTCAAATGAAAGTAAGGAAACAAAGTACCGCCGTTCAAGGTCACGTTTGACAGCTGTTTGTTTACAGTTAGTAAGTCACACGCGCTGTCCAATGATACGCCGTGTGAGTGTGATTTACGTCACAGGATCATATACGTACGCTCGGTGTTTCGGAAAACCCAGCTGCAAGAGTGTTTGCAGAGGTGTCAAGTGCTGTTTCGAAATTTTTGTGGGAGTCGGATTTTTCCGTGGCGGCAGCGTCGCCATGACGGTACATTACTGGCGTTTACTGACGTTTATTCCACCAGGCCGGCCAATCGTCGCGCAACGTCGCACGCTGTAAATAAAGGACCGCGTCTGCACGAACGATGAACGATCGATCGAATCGACTAACGAAGAAATAATTCGTCAAAACTTACGATTACGATATGAATGAATACTCGACACTTCTCAATATTTCTCTTCGAATATTTCTTAATTAACGATCTTACGATATCACAACTGTTATAACTTCTTGAGAGTTGTATCGCAGACGATTTCGAGATACTCTCTTTTATATTGCTCACAGCAGATTGCTCACCGCCGATTATCATTGTTATCAGTCATAAAAAGATTAAAAGATAAAAAGATTAAATAATGATAATCTCACGAGCGATCTTTTTCTTAACGTTCTATGTAAATTTATAATTGTAATTATATTCCAAATATAAGAAGATACGCGAATGATCATACGATATTGATTATCGCGCGCCAATCTTCTTTAATTAATAACTAAAAATCCATATAATTATTTGAAAAATGGTAGAGGACTTTTTTGTTCAATTTTATCTAATCTATATATAAGCACACGACGGCAGATGTCGCTATAACATCTACCGTATGGCGTGTGATTATTTATGCGCCTAGCAATCATGTAACAATTATATTTATTAGTATAATTTAACATATAATTTTAACACGTGTTATATATATAATAGTTATATTGTTGAGTGAGAAATTATAATTGACAGTTATCACCGTTACTTAGTGTGTTTGCTGTTTTTTGAAAAATAGTAGAAATCTTTTGTTCAATTTGATCTAATCTACAAGCGATTATACCATTGTTCCGACACACTTTACATATATATGCACACGATAAGGAATATCAGAGACATAATTGATTCAAGAATCTCAGTCATAAAGTTTCGTAATGTATATTTCTTTCCCTCGCTTCTTCCCTCTCTACTTCGATCGTGTATTCCGCAACAATTTTAACAATCGGCACACAATCGACACGTTTATATCGTCTTATATCGTCTACAGTTAGTGTAAAAAAAAAGGAAAATAGCGACACCTGGATTTATGTATTTCTGTTTTTCTTCTCATTCGTCACGGCATTCCGTTACAAACACTCTTCACACTGCGGTACTTCCATACAGAAGTAATAAAAAAGTTATAGCACATATATATATATATATATATATATATATATATATATATATATATATATATAACTATATATATATATAATATTTATATATAAAATAGACAAAAAATAACGTAATGTACACGTTATTGTTCGTTCCATGGGATTCCCCGCTCACACTCGCAAACTGTACAATCGAATGAGTCGATGTCGTTCGATAATGCCTGCGTACATCGGGCCGCGCTAATATCCGCGAGAAAATACACTTGTTAAGTGTCACAGAGAGACTTGAGCGCAGAATCTTACGCACCCCGGGCCACATTAACGCATCCGATTGCACAGTGCCGTCGGAAGAATCGGTATGAACGAGACTGACAATCGCGCGCCGTTTCGACGCAGTTCCGAACTCGGTTCGCGACTCTAGTCTAGTTCCGCCGAATATTCAACATTTAAAACAAAACGCTCCGCTATGACTTTCCACACTTTCGAATTTCGTCGCGACCCACTCGAATCTCTTTTATTTCCAATCAAAATCACAAAGACTTTGATCACATGTCTCAACGCAAGCTCTCCCGCTCGACGAAACATTTAACAAGTATATGTTAATGTCTACGTATTATATAAACCAAAAGTGTCAAACACATCTTAAGCGTACGCGTAAAACTAGTAAAGCTAGCAGCACGGACCAAATAACAATAGGGCTTCTTCGTTATCCTGCGTCGTCATCACGGACGTTTGATTAAGTACATGAGTGAATAGAGACGCGCGTTGCGAGGTTACACACACAATTCGCCAATAATAAATTAATACGGTATATGTAATACAAATGATTTAAATAATAATTATTAATAACATTTCTCTATATGTATATAAGTGTGCAACATAATATCAATCATAACCACATATCGTCTGATTCAAAGAAATTCTTACATTAAAAGAAACACAAAAGTCTCACTTAATGATATCTTACTTCAACCATCTGATTTTTCATCCGCAATATAGGCATCTCTGTTTGTATTAGCGTGTTAGCGAATTATAGTTTGCGCTCTGAACGCCTACCGAACAACAACACAGTAGGGCTTGATTTCATAGTATTTAATATTGCACATTTTGGCATATTCGACATCGCGACAGAGCGCGTCGCGCGTGTGTACGTTTGACACACGACCCGACACGTGGTGTTCGTCGCCGCGATTGTAGATGATCGTTCACAGCAGTCTAGTACACGTGTGATTTATTACGAGATCATGTGTGGTAACAGCGAAGATTGCGTAGACGCAAACTCGGATACTGTTTGCGCTGTAATTCACGGATCTACAATATTTCACCTCTGCTATAAAACATACGTATTTGTCTACTCACAAATTGGATATCACTGTCGTATACCACTAGCCTGATTATCACTGTAACTCGTAATAGTTACTCATAATATGATTCTTTTCGCCAAGATCTGCTTCCGATCTAAAAGTATAATCGAAGCTGACCGAAGTCGTGTGAACAGAGAAATTTTGATTCTACTCGTCACGCGAATGACAGAATTTTTTCTTCACAATTTTGATGTTATATCGCGATAGAAACTGTCTACAGTGAAATTACTCGTCCCACGTGTGTATCATCGATAGCAAGGCAAAGTACTCAGTGGGGAAAATCGCTTTAGCTGGTTCAACGGACTTTCTTATCGACAGTATCTTCTGTTCCCGTTGCTCGTATAAACTAATATTTATGTGTTCGCAACTATTCGAGTGAGGACTGAAGTACAAGATCGATACGCGCGAGCTTGAAAGATCGTTCCTCCAAACTCGCACGCGCGACTTGTGTCGCGTCAAATCTCTACCCATTGCGCTATGAAATACGCGGGTGGCTTTAGGATGATAAAAAAAACAAACAAACAAAGAAACAAATATTATCATAATCTGATGCGCGCACCCGGCCGCACAAGGTTACGCACAAGATAAAATTCACGCGTATCAGCGCTGGCCGTATTAACGCGAAATATAATCGGGTTCTGCGCGCTTCCAATTTAACGAGAACGTAACATACATTTCGACCGAGATGATATCGTTCGAACGGAGGCTCGAACAAAAACTCTCTCCGGGGGAGAGCAGTCATCCATTTTCATAAACGTTGTTCGCGCTACCTCGAAGCGCGGTCCTTCTTACCGCGGCCGCGCACACCTGCGCAGCGGCCGTTTGTGGTTTTTCCCTTTTTCTTACTTTCCTTCGAGATAGCTCGTTGACAACATTGCACACAGCGAATGTATCGCGGTGTAACGAGACAACACGGAATCGTGCCGGGCGCGAGTCTAGTCCGCTCGGCGTGTCGAAAACAAAGCGCGCGGCGGATATTGCATTTTGTACACGCGGTGTCAGTCTCATAATTGGCAGTGAGCGTTCTCGGAACACGCTACTGAAGTCCGTCTAGCGCACGGAACCGCGCTATTCCGTTCCGGGGCGTCGGGTGTATTTATAGGTGCTATTCGGATCACGCTACTGTTACGATAGTGTGGAGGAGCTCGGGGGTGGGATGTCACTGGCGTATATATCGCGCTTGAGGAAAGTTCAAGTTTCTATTCCTTGATACAAAACGATCGACGAATGCCCGAATACACGTATTGACCAAACTGCCCACTCTCACCGCGTACTTGGACCTTCGCCAGATATGCGCGAGCGGACTCGATTTGACCGTCTAATGCCGGACAATGCGCGTGCTGTTACTTCAGCGGGCGCGCGTGAAAACGTATTGTCGCGTCTATGAAACAATGAGTTTACGAGTCTGTACACTCGGTTACTAAACGGTCACACATTTTGCCGAATATGACCATCAATTGAGAAGCACTGCTGCGTTCGCACTGTAATTAGTTCATAAAGGGATGTATCTAAAACTTCAAAGTCCAAAAGTTCATAATTTAAACTACGGGAGGATAACAATATTTTAAATGTCATGTTAATCAAATTTATTTTATATATTTTAAATGTCATGTTAATCAAATTTATTTATATATTTTAAATGTCATGTTAATCAAATTTATTTTTACACCCTATACTGCCACTTCGACTCTTGTTGTAATTTACAGTGTGAAACGTCTCTTAAGTCTCAATGTCTCTTAAGTCGATTGTTTCAACCTCTTGATAAGTTAACTGATAGTCAAATCACATGTCTGTTTAAGTTGAAGAAAAAACAAAAATAGACATATGATTTAATTTTCAGTTAACATACCAAGAAGTTGGAACAATCGGCCCTTAATTTGTGACAACCAGGAGCGCTGCAACTTTATTCAGACAATGGTATGGCTACCATTTAGTAACCGAGTGTATCACAGTCGAATGTACCAAAAGATTGCCCGTAAATTTTGATATGAATTGTGAACTTATCCGTTTTGTCCAATGGAAGAATTCGTTTTCTAATGAGAGAATGCTACCATTGGACAAGACTCACCCCAAAAATTACGGTCCCCAATCTTTTAGTCCACAACTGTACACACGGAATATAAAATGTTGTATCAACAGGAATTGCCAACATCGTCGTAATTGGAATAAATCTTGATTCGACAGTAATGCCATTGAAACTAATACTGAGTCATCGAAACAATACATGATGTATTGGTTTCGATAGATATTGAATCAACGAGATTCACTCCAATTACGGCGATGTTGACAATTTTTATTGGTACAACAGCACTTTCTTTTCTGTGTCGCCGTAAAACATTCGATCGCTCGCTTATTCACGCAGATGGAAAGAAAAACTCGGTTCGTGCTACCGAATTTTCTGTTACCTGCTGGGTGCGCATTCCGCTTACCGACAACTGTCGGCTCGGTATGTGTCGTTGCGCAGATATCATATCATAAAATAGCTGCGCAACCACACACACCGACAGTTGTCGGTAAACGTGTACGGAATAGCCGCTGTACGAATAGCTGTGTAGGCCGATTCTCGAACTTTATAACAACGATGTCGCTAGCATGGTGTGTCGCAGCTTTTCTACCGCGTGCACACCTAAAAAAAAATACTTGAAAATAAATGCCTGAGTTATAAAGTTTATTTTTACGAAGTGAAGTATATTTTTATGAGAGATATATTCTTGTATCTTGCAGATAAATTTTCGAGTCTTTTCTTCTCAGTATACTATACCCACGTGAACGACAACATGACGATAACGACACTATCATTGAAGGTTACAGAATCGGCCTACTGGCGACGACATTGAGAAAAAAGTTTCCGGTATCGGTAACTATAATCGCACAATGAAAGAAATGCTGTCGGAAAAACCGTTCTTACAGTAATGTATTGTAATACAGTTACTGTATTGTTAATGATAACAATCTTGTATGCGTATTACTACTACTACTTTCTTGTTCGAACGAAAAGACATGATTGGTGCCGCGAGTAGCTTACAATTTTAGCGAGACTAACCATTTTTCTCTCATCGCAGGCGAAAACTCGGTTGAAGGATAATCAGACATTTCAAAGCTTGCAACTCCTTTTCGGAGTTTCCCTCCTCATTCAGCTAAACCAACCGAGATCTTCTTTCCGTGGAAATCGTGTACGCGACGACCGTTATTCACGAGCAACGCATTCTGTACATGACATGTGTGTGCAGCGAGAGAAAACGGGAAAAATCGATTCTTCATTCGATATCTTCAGTCTATCCGCTCGTTCGCAGAGAAGCATCGCTCTGCCGTTACAATTCTTCACACTCATACACGGAAGAGACAACTACGTTAGTGTAACTGAACTTTCTATTGCCCGGGGAAGCGGACGAAAACTCGACTATAGAAACGGGCAGATTCTTGTAGGAGATTTCTACTCAGTCAATCGCTCTCAGCTATCTCAATCGAGTTCTGACGCAGCTGAATGCCCAGACGAATGTGCGTTCGGTAACAAAGATATTACTTCTCGTCAGCAAGTTTTCGTTCGGTCGCCGCTCAGTTATACGACAGCTGAGACCATTTCTCCGTACAATTCCGCACTAATAGAGAGAGAAATGCGTGAGTATTGGTTCCGCAGATCCTTATTATTATTATCATCATCATCATTGCTGGTTTCTCGCAGAGAAGTATAACAAAGGCGTCCATCCTCGAGCAGCGCGGACGAAAAGCGCGACAAGGGGCGAAGAATCCCGACGGGCAGGCAGGGTTCACAGTGCGCGCTCTCTATCCGCTTCAGCAATTCCGATCGCTCGTCCCGACATTATTCGGACATTATCCGGACGTAGAAGTATGGCCAGCGCCGAGATATCCGTGGGTCGTCGTTTCCGCGTGACGATTCGCTCGTACGCGCGACGACTTCCGGCCGTGGTAACGAGAGAGCGAGCGGAGCCAGCTCAGTCAGCTCATCCTCGCAGACGACCGCGGTTATTCCCGATCTTTGCTCAGATCGGACGGCAAGTCGCAGGTGGACAACGCCGTCGTTGTGGGCGACCGCGCGGTCGGCGACGATAAGGTCATCCTAGAGCTCACCGGTAAGGACAAACCCGCCGCGCTCATCGCGACATTTAATGGTATCGTGATGAACGGCTGGCTCGATTGCGACGAGTTCACCGATGCCACTGTACCTAAAAAGGAAGTCGCAAAGGGAAAAGCAAATGAGACACTGGTAGTCGCGGGATCGCCTCGCGCTTTTTCCCACCCGATCCTTCCGTGGACAATTGTTTTGCTTCGTGCATTTTTTCTCGTCTCTTTTTTCACTTTCGCGCGTTTCCACTCGGCGCGAATTGCCGCGAAGAATCCCTCCCGTTTTTCCAAACGCGCTCCCGATCGTGTCAACGGTGTTTAACGCAGGACGCTGTGTATTTATTATCGCCGGCTATAACTAGTTATTAGCATTATGCAAAATTATTAGTCACAATCTCTCGCCTCTCTGGCGCGCAATTATATATTCGCCGGATGTCACCGATGATTCAGACGCGCCGGGAGAAGCGCGCGAGCGATTTCCGCGAGTCTCTTTCCAAGTGGAGAGTTTCTATGCGTCCGCGTGAAATTGGCGATTTTCGTGTTTCGTTGTTCTCTCAAATCTCAGAGAGTCGCGTAAGGACGTTTCGAAACGCGCGCACAGCGGCGCATATTACGTAAGACCCGCCGCGTTCTCCGTGTCGGCGAAATGAAACCTACCTCCGTCCTGAGATATTTGCACCGGTTGCCCGTTTTGTCCTATGCCGAGCAAGACCCCTGGACTGGGCGAATAAATGACACTCTGAGGCATCTGGTACATAATCCCTGCAGAGAACGAAGGCACATTTCCTAGGAAACCAAAGAGCAATTGAGCATGTGAGTATCTGTGGCGCGCCGGGGAAAATCTATCGCGTGTAAATTTGCCGCGTTTTTTTGCGAACGTATATCCTACGTAGAATTTGTGGCTCGAACGTGTCGCAGTATGCGCCCAAAAAAAATTCTCATTCTTAACGGAACCCTAATGGCCTCAAAGGGATTCTCCTAAAATCAATAAGAAAATATTCCAACATCCAAGAAAGGAAATTCTAGTTGCAAGGTGTTGTTTCCTGTAATTTCATATTCTAAGCGAAAACTCTTATCGAAAGAGTGTTCTTCTCTTTAATGAAGTAAATTATTTTAATCGAAAATCTATTAGATGTTATTCTAACTTTTTTCCTTTTTTGAGTTAAGAGGAATATTTGAAGCAGAATATGCTCTCCTACTGGAAGAAATTTCTATCAAGAGTAAGACTTGATTGTACACTGGGAAAATAATATATAATGCAATATATAAAGCAGAAGTATTTAAATATGAGCAACGTGGCGTCACTCTAGTTATCTTTGTATGATGATTATGTGTGTATGGTTGATATGATATAGTTACTTTTCTGTACATCTCTCAACTGCGTTAGTATAGCTGCGCGTGATCTGATTGTGACAATTGGAAATCGGTTAGGGCAACATAGATACACTTTGGTTGGAGCGACCAGATATCGCCATCACTGCAACGTCAGTAACTCGACAATTGTTCTAGTAGTTACAGCAATCATATGATTCGTTGTTATTTCGTATTTTACTATTGAATCGGGTTAATACAACTAGATCAATATGTGGGCCAACCATACTGTTTTTTTTTTTTCATGCAGATAAGACACGAAATTCTCTAACTTTAAGAATATTGTTTTAAGAATATTGTGTTTGGAATATTTTCCCCTTGGCTTCAAAAGAATTTTCTTGTGGTTATATGTAGGAGGATTCCATTAAAAATAAGATTATACTTTTTTAGGTGTGATACAACGATTAACGTCGTTTATTATAACGTTAAACTCTTCCTCTCTTGGTACAGATTTAGGTGCATCTCTGACAAAAACTTTGAAATAACGGCCGAAGCAACTTGAAACCAGACCACCCAAGTCGCACCCAGATGCGAATCTGCGCTCTGATTCACCGTATTTCCTATTTAACATAAATCACTGTGTTGCATATGCATGTTTCTCTGAAAAACACAGTAACTTTTCACGGAGTGAAAGCCTCGAGAAAAGAAACAATCTCCTCGTTCGATTGTTGAATTATTTATCGAGAACGGAACTGATAGTTTCGATATTACACTTTAGCTAAGAAAAAGACTTAGAAATGTATTTGTCCATAACAATTATTCGGCATTCAATAGTCTACTAATTAAAGCACCATCCAAATTTCGTCAAGACAAAGTGTAATTTGCACGAGTACACGTGTTAGCATAGCATATCCGTTTTTAAGTTTCAAAGAGAAATTTATATTTACTGCACTTGAATGCTTATATGCGTAATTATGAATTTGTTAGTATTTACAGATTACATTGTTAATATACACGTTTCCCCTGACTACCTCGCGCGTTAGTAAGGTAAAAATACCAATTCCTGAGTATGTATCTAATCCTGGATTTTCTTGTTGTTTTGGTCTTAAATATTTAAACTTTCAAATACACGCAAAACACTCCTCTTTAACTTACCTTTTCTCATGATTCCATCATATTAATTTTACGGCTATTCATTATTTATTGTTACACTAAAAAGAAATCGTTTAGACTATTCTACGGATCTCCTCAACCGATTGCAAGTATCATTTTGTAAACATATTTTATTTCAACGCAAGAACTTTTAACTATATTTTTCCTTATAATAACTATATTAACTGTAGTACTGTATTTAACTGTAGTAATTGTAGTAGTATTATATTAATTATACTAACTATTGTTAAACTGTATTAATTGTATTTCATTTCTTCTAACGTCATAAATCAAGATAGCCGCGGCAAGAGACCAGAAGCTTTAAAGACCAAAACAATAAGAACGCCTAGAATTATGTATACATATATCTAATCCTGAATAATCTTATTGTTTTGATATTTAAATATAAATATTTAAGTTTTGAACATAAATACTTATATACTTTTTAACTTTTAAACCTTTATACTTATTAACTTTTAGAATATATATATATATATATATATATATATATATATATATATATATATATATAT